CCAGCACCACAAGCAGATGCCTCCCCGACTTCAAAATGCTGGTCAGCACAGCAAGTTGTTCGCGATCACTATGATCTTTGTCAAAACCGTCACAGCGACCGCCACATAGAACTGGAAACAAAAATTACAATTTACAACACATTATGTTGAGACAACGAGTTCTCGATATCCGCAAAAAACAATCTAAGACTGCAGGGACAGAGCGAGGACAGAAGAGTTGAGTTGGGTCTGTGTTGCTCCTTCCGCCTTGCCTGTTGTTGTCCTCTGCCCTCTCTCCTCCTCATACCATTGGATGTATGCTGGGGAGAGAGATCGTCTTCGACCTCGCTCCCATGCTGCTCTTCAAGCTTTTTAACTTTTTGTTTTGTTTTTTTCGTTTTTTTTCTTTTTCTTTTTAATTTCTTTACCCCCTCCTTTTTCTTCACACCTTTGACACACTGTCATCTGTGTTCAAAAAGATTCTGTATGTATCTTTCATTGCAATGATACCGTAGTTTACATCAATGTCGTCTGTGTTGACGAGCATGTCAGGCGTGTATGCCAGTGTGCCGTGCAGCTACCATGTGAATTGATCCCATTGCATTCACCTTTAGGCCTCTTTCTCGTGCGTGGTAGTAAGCCTAAAAAACATCATTGTATTCATCTGATTCCTTCAGGACTCAAACTCGTGACTTGTTCATCAACATTTACATGTGTGTACTCTGTTCAGCCACATGGGCCTAGCTGACCTTTGGTCTTCATTCTTGTCATCAACCGTTGTGCAGGGGTTTGAACTCAGGTCTAGCCTTGAGAACTACATGGGAAATGAGTTGTTATAAGAAAAATAAAGTGTCTAGAGAAATCTATTACCCTGAACCAGCTGACGCTGCCGGGATAACTCCGGGTTCAATTGTGAGGTCCCCGGCCTCGATGGGCGTTCTATTCGGGTGGAGGAGACGGTAGGTGCACCAGATTCAGTTGTTTGTAAGTGCTTGTCATCCCCATTGATCCCGTCGATCTCTTGCTGACGCCGTAGCAGACGGCTTGTCAGTGCCTCACCTTGATTTGGCTATAGCTAATCGAACACCAGACACAAGATCAAGAAAGCACTTAATAATTTGGAGCCACGGAGCAAGGAAGTGGCGCCATCACACCTTTACGTTTCTTCTCATAGTATTCGTACTTGACCTGCTGCAATTCCCTGGTATAACTTTGTTCCGCAAACTCTTCAAACGGCCTGCAGAGGGAAGACCAAAAAATAAACATGCTTTGTCTTAGCAGCAGCGGGCCAGCGGCAGCACATCTGGTGACCTGGAGAGAAAGGAGGGCTGTAATAATATTGTGTTGGACCGTCTCTGCCCCGCCAATCCTTGAACACCTCCCAACTGCCACCTACCCTTATTAGCCCCCCAGCCAAAAAAAGGTGCATCCCATTAGTAGTGATGGCGACCTCGGAGGATGCCAGCTTGAGTGCAGAAGAGAGTGAGTAGCATGGCGGAAGTCTCAACAAAGGCAATGAGGGGGCAACAGTAAGGACTCAGGAGCAAGCAACACATCACCCCCTGTGTACATACATTTGATGGTAAGATGCATTGGGGGTCCCTACTGTTAACCAAATGTATGGCTACCGTCTTCCCCCAAACATAACGCATCTGACGCGCTGTATTCAAAAATAAGGGGCTGTTCGAATACAACACATACGCATTGTATTAAAAAAAAGAAAGCAACCAATGCCTTGTATTCGTTAACAACACAGATGCATTATGTTCGAGGGAAGACGGTAGCAATCAATCAAGTGCACAAGAACAGAGAGACAGAACATACATGGAAGCGGCCCTCCCTGTCGCTCATACACAAATGAATTGGGCGGAGTGGGAGCAGTGGATTTTTTTATTTTTTTTTTGGGGGGGGGGSGGGGGGGTTAGAGGGAAGATGAGGGAGAGGAGGGGAAGGGTGATTAAGGAGAAAACAGGGGCGAAGAAGATGACGAGTGCTGCAAACATTAGTGCCTTTCACAGAATAACATCCCTACCGTGGCAAGACTGTCGCAGTCAACCGATGAAAGTGCACAGTAGCAGGGAGGGGAAACATACATGGGAGTGGCCCTCTCTGCTACTACTCAGACAATTCAACGAGGAGAGCAAGAGGAAGAAAAGGAAGAAGATTATGAAGAAGATAATGAAGGTCATAAATATGATAATGACCATCGATGAACAATCTCATCACCACCTACAACAAAAACCAATCGCCAGTAGTAACCGCCACCACAACAAGAAGATCGTTAAGGTCGAAAAAATAATAATGACACTTGATGGGTAATCCCTTTCTCCTCGCCACATGCACCACCTCCACCAACAACTAACATGATCAACAATAATGAAGAGCTGCCAGCAACAATCCCATGAGTGAACGTGTGCGCGAGTTATAAAACAAACACCAGATATAAAAAAATCCCAAATCCACCCACAAGCCAGCCAGAGGAAAATAAAACAGACTCAGTGAGTGCAAAGGTTTACCACATCTGAGTGGTTGAGCGCCCACACATACATCCACTTAGCACGCACTAATCACACACTTCACACACACTGAGGTCATCCAACAAAGATTGTCAAGACTTCACCTCACAGATTTTTGAGACTTCACCTCACAGATTTTTGAGACTTCACCTCACAGATTTTCAAGACTTTGTCAATCAGGTTGCCCAAAAACGTTTTTCCAGACATGAACAACTGCTGGTCATCACCAATGATTCACCATGCAGAAAACACTCATTTCATAGCCTTGTTGGCCTCATGCCTGCTGCCCAATTGTCTCAACTTAGGGTAAGAAGGACCCCGCAGCGAGGCTTCCAGCGAATCCGTTGGCCACGCCTCGCGGTAGTTTCCCGCAAGGGCCCCCGGTAGTGCTCGCGGAAACGAGCTCGCACCATGCCCGTCAACAGATGCTGCACCGTGGGAAGTGCTCGAGTTATCTACACGCCAAGTAGGGAAACTGCGAACTGATAAAGAAAAAGGAAGAAAGAGTGACGCGCTCGGCCTGGCTCCACTACACAACTCTCTGCATGCATGCATGTGGATGCTTTGTAGACAGCAAAGAAGCGGGTGAACCGAGCGTGCGCCTGGCTCCACTCTACAACTCTCTGCATGCATGTGGATGGTTTGTAGACAGCAAAGAAGCGGGTGAACTGAGCGCCTGGCTCCACTCCACAACTCTCTGCATGCATGTGGATGCTTTCCAGACAGCAGAGAAGCGGGTGAACCGCTTTTCCCATGGTTTCCAGGCTCGTGAGCGGTGCCCAACCCCCCGTACTCTCAACTCCATCCAGACGAAAAGGGCACCGTGACACTGCGCCCAATAGCAGCATTTTTTGGCAGTGTGAAAACAAAACACTGCCACTGTTCTGTTCCAAAACTCCTTCCGCCACAGTGGTATCCGAAAAGGTTTCCTGGCGGAAAGGGAACAGAGTGCCTCGCGGCGGGATCCACAGCATTTCCCCGTACACACCCCGAGAGGAAACAAGCGAAAAAAAAAAAAAAAAAAACCTCTGTTATGTCACAGGAAGACGACAACACGGTAGTTTCTGCAGGTTGTGGAGGGAGCCCAACAACAGTACCTGTACTGCAGTTCAGAGGGGTCAATCCCTGTCTGAAGGCAAGCAAGCAAGGATCTAGGGCTAGTTAGCCGAATGGCTCTTGGAGGCCCTTCACCTGTTTACGAAGCCATGGAAGAGAAGAGCACCAGAAGCAAATAACAGTCCAGATACACTGTGAGAAATTAAACATGGACTGACTCCATGATCATTCCGTCTCTTCTCTGTGTTCATCCTTTTTTTTTCTTTTTTTCTTTTTTGTTCTTCTTTTTTCCATTCCTTTCCTTTCCTTTCCTTTGTTTACTTGCAGGGCCTTATGGTTCAAGCCCCATTGTTTGTTTGTTTGTTTGTCTTAGGCTCCATTCTATTCTGGGGAGCATCAGTCCAGATCTTTCTTCCAGTCGCAAGTTGACATCTACAATTTGCAGGCTCTGACGATTCCTTCCTTCCATTAAGGCCGAAAAAAGGAGCGCCCTGAGCGGCATTGATTGCTCTCCCCTGAAAGGGCGGATCGACGACCAGGTAAGCCTTGTTTGTTTTCCCTCTTGAACTCCACACAGCACTATTTTACACGGGCAACCAAATTCGCATCAACGGCTTTGAAGAAGGAAAAAAAAAGGAACAGGGGAATTTGTTCTTCCCAGTGATGGGCCTCGGTGATGAGACCATCATTGTTCTGTAGCTTTTGCTGCTGTCCATCAGCTTTGCTTCTTGACTATCACTACTGGGGCTTGCGACCATTTTGTGCTGCTTGGCTCCCGCCTGGGAAAATAGCGGGCCTCGGGTAGGCGTCCGACCTTTCCAGAGGCCGAAACGACATGACGGCCACCGATCGGATTTATCAAAGGTAGTCGTCGTCGGACCCGACCTCCGAAGATTCAGGATTTTGGGAAAACTGCCAGTTTTCCCTATTTTCCCACGCGGGAAAGGTACTAGTGCTTTAAAGGCGTAGCCCCTATACTATCTGTCTCATTCACACTCAAGCCTTGAACTCCTGATCTGTTCATTAACAGAGTTACATTTGTGGACCATTCAGCCACATCAGCTGGGTCGCTCGACTTCTTCCTGCAAGCATTGTTTTCAAGAAAAACCCACCCAAATCTTCGAAACAGCCTCATCCTTTTTCAAGGACCTCTACAGAGTACACAAGCAAGACCCCACAACACCTTTCCTCACTTCAGCTATTTTTGTAGTTCCTCTTTTATTTCTTCTTTACACAAGCAAGACCCCACAACAACTTCCCTTACTTCAGCTATTTTTGTAGTTCCTCTTTTACTTCTTCTTTTAGCTCCCCCTTTACTGTGCCTCCCACGTAGAAGGCTTGCCACGTTGATCTGCCCACATCCCAGTGTGCCATAACGGGGGGAGAGAGAGAGAGAGAGAGAGAGAGAAGGACAGAGAGAGAGTCCATGTGAGGAGGGCATCATAGTTTACCTGAAGCTGCAGGCCATAAACATCACAGAAGCCATTACAACAATGAAGACATATTGACTTAGCACTGCCCCAAAGAACGCCTACAACGATGGCCTTTTGGGGCGGAGCGAGCCTACAATGTGAGCACCTGCTTTAAATGTGACCTCTCATGGTGTATCGCTATTTCTTTTTTTGAAGGGGTTCTACATGAGCAACATCGCTGGCAGTAACCATTGACTAAAGCTTTCTTCAACAGGTTAGTTTAACGGTGACCAATTGATTATTGAGAGAAGTAGCTTGGACTTTCAGTGCAGCAATTAGGGGGATACTCACACTAGACTTTCCAGGATTTATCTGACTATAGTTGTGACTAGATTCCTTCTTAAGGATGCTAAGGCGAGTATGCCGTTGGACACGCAATCAAGCATTCTTTGAGTTTACATTATAATGCATGGAGTTCCTCTGCTCTGCACTTGAGAGCTCTATCTCTGATTTTCTTTCTCTTCTTTTTCTATTTAATTTGGACCATTTCTCGATTTATGTATGTCATCCTTGCGCAGGGACAACAAAAATTAACCCCGAAGAAAGAAGTCACCAGCCAACGCCCTTCATGCAAAGCACAACTCGTCATACACAACTCATCATAGCCACACACAAAGACAGCCATAAGCTGTGAATCGTTTCTCATCGTCATATTACCAAATTCAACATGTTATGAAAATCGCCATAGCTTTTCCCCCAAAAATAATAATAATAATAATAATAATAATAATAATAATAATAATATAAAAAAAAAAAATGCCATACCATGAAGGCCCAAGATGGGTTGACTACGTTAAGAAAATCGCCACATAACAACCACCAGTACCCCAGGGGGTCTTAGGCCCCCTCTGGGCCTCCTCTGGGCCCCCTCTGACGCAAAGGCATATGGACCCCGTGGCGCACCGATTCAGCCACCACCGCGTTAACGGCCTAAAAACGTGGAGGTAGTGGTGGCTTAACCACTGGGTTAACTATGTCTATAGTACGAAGGCCCAAGATGGTTGAATGAGAAGGCGCAACTCTACAAGTCGCCATAGCAAACAGCGACAACTGCTAATCTACGACAAAAAAAATGCCATAGCACAGCGCCATCCGATGACTTACGACAGTACCCCGAAAACTCAGCCGCGTCAAACGTCCTTGCGCAGGGTCCATACTAATCTTCTCTGTACCGTTCCAGTTTTAACGGACGTCCCGAAGGACCTATATTTCGGACTCTCATGTGTTCCTTTGCTTGGGTGTGTTTTGGCCAATGATCACATACATGGATATTTGAACGAACGATTGCTTCAAAGTTCACACTTAGTCACTGCTGTGCTCACATGGATAAAGAACCATCTTTCTTGCATGCTAAACTGAACTACTAACAGGTAACTAGTTAATGATAACCATGGTTATCTCCTCTTGCCTTGGGAAGCTTCTATTACCGTCTTCTACAGAATACAGCACAACACACTCTCCTCATGACTGCATTGGACTGACTGGAACACCCAGTTGAATTTCAATTGAGGATCTGTTTGCCAAGGCGAGCGACTCAACTGACTCCTAGTCGTATTGATTGGATCTAGCATATGGAGATGGAAAGTGTAGACATATTATATTGTATGACACTTCACGCCATCAGCCTACAAAGCGAGAAGCTTGGCTAGCCTACGTCGAGTCATCTCCGGTGCTGATCGAGGTGCAGCCTTCGCGCCTCGTCCTTAATTAACTCTGGCACCGATCAAGGTGCATTAGCGGAATTTCCCAGTTTCGAAAGGGTTCCCAAGGCGAGCGGCTCAACTGACTCCTAGTCGTATTGATTGGATCTAGCATATGGAGATGGAAAGCGTAGACGTATTATATTATATGAGGCTTCACGCCATCAGCCTACAAAGCGAGAAGCTTGGCTAGCCTATGTCAAGTCAACTCCGGTGTGCTGATCGAGGTGCGCTCGCGGAATTTCGCGAGTTTCAAATCAGCCTTCGTGGCTCGTCCTTAATTAACTCTGGCATCGATCAAGGCGCGTTAGCGGAATTTCCCAGTTTCAAAATCGGCCACCACACTTATTCCTTCATGCGCGAAGGGTGTGGTAAATAGAGAGAATATACATATAGAAATCACCACCAACCCTTGCATGCATCGATGATCAGGGTGTGTTGCGTTCAGGAGAAGACAGTAAGTAACTGGGTTGTGTAATTAAAGCTCAAGAAAAAAGTAACCAGAAGAGAATTTGCATGAACGATGTTGTTTGGTAGAAGATGCAAGAGGTGCGAGGGACAAAGCTACCCACCTGATGTGAAGGCATTTGCGATGTCTTCCACTGATCGAATCCGTCGCCTTTTGCCGCTGTACCCTGACTTTTGAACAACATGGCATGCAGCCTTATCAACCAGCATTCCATAGCAAGACACAAAACAGTCAGCGGCACAAAACATTGCACAAACGCGGAACACACACAATCTTCTCCATATAGTGCCGCGACCCTCTTGAGGTATTATTCTCTCTTTTAAGCTACGCAGATTCCCGCTGTGCACCAAACAAAAACGAACCGCCAGTGGTGCACTTTTTTGCCTTTTTGCCTGGCGCCACCAGCCATTTTGGTCGGGAAGGACTGCTCATCCGAAATCTTCGGATCGAGTTAATTTTGATTCCCAAGCTGCCTGAAAAAAAAAAAAAAAAAAAAAAAAAGATTCCCAAGCTGCCTGGGTAGGGTTACTGGCGGTTTAAACTCTATGGATCTCCTTCAGAAAGCGGAAAGGACAAGTAGGTTGCAGGGTCACATGTGACACAGTAAGGGCATTAGATCAGTGAGCCCCTAAACCGGTAAAGTGATGCCTTGTATGAGAGCCTGGAGCACACATACATGGGAAGCAAAGTGACTGGCCGACCGCTGTCAGATGCGTGTGTGACGATGAAGACGTGCGAAAGCAGTGAGACACCTATAGATGCTGCTTACAGGTCCCCCAATTCCAGGACCAGGCCCCACCGGTGCCATGC